GTCACCCCATCTCACATACACCCCAACTCAGGCATCACCCCACCTCACCTGTGCCTGGAGAGCCGCTCCTCACCTGCCCTCTCACCCCACTGCCTGCTGGAAGAGATGAAGCATGACAGATGGCCGACCTCTGGGCATCCCCCTTCCTGGATCACCCCCATTCTGCTATGGGGGAGCCCTCAGCCGGTCCCCACTGTCCCAGATGACGACCTGGCCCCGATAATTTCACTAACAAGCATCCCCAGTCCTGACATATCTCTGCCACCCTGGAGCGGACACGAGGTCAGAACATCCCCGCATCCCCCATCCACCCCGCCCCAGACAGACAGACAGACGGACAGATAGAGAAGTTTGCTGAGGGGATTGCTGAGGAAAGGTGATTCTAACCAAGAGAGCAGGAGACTGAGACACCCTGCTGGGGTCTCAGGGTTCTGCCAACACCAGCACCGTGCGGGGCACTTTACATGTGCCCTTGGCAGTCCCTTCGATGGTCCTGCCTGGGAGCAAGTTGCCTTCGTCCATCTCATGGGTGAGGCTGGGAGAGGCTGGATATCCAGATGGGGGCCATTCAGCGGGCAAGTGGCAGACCCTGGGCTCAAGCCCGGTCCCTGTGCCTCAAGAGACCCCCTTTGCTTCCCTGGTTCTCTGCTGCTGCTCCGGAACGCTGTGGGTGGGCCCTTCGGAGCTGGGGACCACTCACCTTCCTCCCCCAGGCTCTTCGGCTGGCGGCTCATGGTCAGAGGAGCGCCTCAGCCCCCGCGCTGGCTCACACCGATGGCTGGCCCACGTGCACCTTCATTCAGCCTGGGGCGCTCTCCTGCCCTCATGGTGGCCGGGCTTCCTTTCTGGGCCCTGATGGCAGCCGGGGCCCCTTGGCTTGTTTGAGATTGAACTGGAGGTGGGTGAAGGTCGGGAGAGAGGTGAGGAAGGAGGCGGGGAGTTCCCAGCCCTTCAATCCGGCCACACACTCCTCCGCTCAGGTTTCCCAGCAGAGGGGCAGTGTGGCCTCACGTTTCAGGCATCACTTACACACGGAGGGGCCCTGGAGGGGCCAGGAGCTGCCAGCTCACCTCCCAGCTCTGACGCCACCTGCACTCTGGCCGCGGGGGATGTGAAGAGCATCCCAGGGCCCTTTCCCTCTACCCGGAGTCCCTAATTGGGACAAGGCACCAGGAAAGTTGTGGGATGTTGGTGAAAATTATCACCAGGCCTTCTGTTTAAAACGCAGGTTCCCTGGGGCGCCGGGGTGGCTCAGTCGGTTAAGCGTCCGACTTCGGCTCAGGTGATGATCTCGCGGTCCGTGAGTTCGAGCCCCGCGTCGCGGGCTCTGTGCTGACAGCTCGGAGCCTGGAGCCTGTTTCAGATTCTGTGTCTCCTTCTCTCTGAGCCTCCCCCGTTCATGCTCTGTCTCTCTCTGTCTCAAAAATAAATAAAGGTTAAAATGCAGATTCCCGGGGC